ATGGGGCTTCCATTAGTATCTACAGCACATCGACTCTTCAGACATATGTTTGTGATTCTATCCAGCCTGGATGGCAATGATAGGCTGAGCTGTCAGGACCAGAAGATTCCTCAACACACTCTTGATTTAGGATTTAAAAATTTGTCCAAGTTCTTGTGAAGCATAGGCATAGAGTAAATGTTCAAACCACGAAGAGCATAGCTCAGAATGCAGGGGAAATGGATGACTTGGACAATCTGGCCCATTCAGCTCAAGAGAACTGACCCAGCCTTTTCATGTTGATGTAGCAAAACACACAGTGATTCAGCTGTGCCAAAACTGCTGCAGCAATTTGGCTATGCCACATCATCCTATTCCCTGGCACTCTGATCCTCATGCTATATAAGACCTTACGTAATAATAAAGAGAGACTTCCTCATAACAACATCTCAAGTTAAAAGTGTGGCCTTGGGTGCCATGAATTTCCAAGTTTTAGCTTTAATAATCTGCAGTAGTTATGAAGTTTGGTGTGTCCCTTTATTAATAGTGACAGTAAAGAAATAGAGAGGAAAGAAAGAGGGACAGGAACATGTTAATATTTGCTAAAGTATATTTCTAATTTTATAGTGTACCTTTAATAATAAATATATTTAATTTTTAATGTTAGAGAGTTCATTTCATTTTTAATTTAGATTACTGTTGATGCGATTCTAGAAAAACAAAAACAAATATAAAACAAAGTGCCTTTGTTGCATTATGATCTGCCCACCGTGAGATCATTAACACTGATGATCTCTAGCCCAACAAGATTCTTCTAACATAGAAGCACTTCAGCCATTCGTGCATTCCACCAAGCCAATGTTCTATGGGAAGCATTAGCCGTGTTTAGTGTAGTCATGCTGTAGACTTAAAGGAATACTCTAAGCATCAAAAATACTTTATTAAGCTAAACAGTTTTGGTGTATAATGCATGCCCCTGCAGTCTCACTGCTCAATTCTTATCCATTTAGGAGTTTAATCTATATTTTCCATTTGTTTATGCAGCCCTAACCACACCTCAACTCCGGTGGTTGTGACTCACACAGCCTACTTGAAAATATGATTTCATTTTCAAATCAGATTTGAAAGCACAGTGTGTTTACTTTTGATTTTTTAATCTCCTGCTCTGCTAATTGAACTCTAATCACACACAAACGGCTCCTGAAGGTTTTTAACAGAGCAGGATATATTTTAAGACATTTTAAATTAAACAGAATATGCAATAAAGTCTAAACATTAGATGTCTCTTTATAGTAAATGTGTTGGGAGACTGTGTAGGTCACATGCAGGGGAGGTGTGGCTAGGCTGCACAAACATGTGATTTAAAGGGACACTCCACTCCTCAAAGGGGCAAAAAAGTATTGACCGTTTAGGAGACATACCCCCAATGAATACATGCATGCATTCATGCAGGTATTATCTTAAAAGAGCTTGCAAAAGCTGCAGTTTTTATGAGGCCTTTGCAAGACCTCTGTTTTGTCCCTTGAAGAGAATAACAATATCTTCACTGGGAAATAGCTTACTGAAAAGCCTCTAAAGCTATCCCTATGAGCAGGCACGTCGGCTTTTGAACACATTGCACAGCGTTCTGATCGGAGTTCAGAGAAGTAGGCATGCTGAGAAAGAGGCAAGTACTCTCTTGATGTCTCATTGACAATCAGTGCATGTTTAATTAACCAATTATAAAAGTGCCAATTTGTCATAAGAAATTGTTAATAGCCTTGTAGACTCTGCAAGTGCCTCCTGCGTGTGATTAAAGTTCAATTTGAAGAGTAGGAGATCAAAAACTTCTAAAGCAAGTTAACATCTGAGTAAAAATTAAACCATATTTTCCATGCAGGCTGTGTGAGTCACAGCGAGGGGAGGTGTGACTAGAGTCGCATAAACAGGAACAAAAGTGGGTTAACTCCTTATTGGCGGAGAATTGAGCAGAAAGACTGCAGGCGCGTGAACTAAAGTTGTTTTGATGCCTATAGAGTCCCTTTAATGTCTAAATGGCAGAGAATGTAGCAGTTTGACTACAGGGGCATGATTTATACACAAAAACAACTTCAATAAGCTAAAGTTGTTTTGGTGACTATAGGGTCCCTTTAAAAGAAGCTCTGTCGCCTCAAACATTTTGATTATTTCATAAAGATAGAATCAAATAAGTAAAATGACATCATAAGACAAAGTCTTATGATAAAGCCAGAGGTTGAGAAAAAGTGACAAAAGGCACATCTTCTGCAAACACACCAATGGTTGCGGGTTGAGATATTCAGGATGCTTTTCTCAGATCACAGGACTTAGCATATGGAGGCTGAATTGATCTTGTAGAATACTCCATAGACATCAGTTTTGAACTCAAGCAATATATGCAAAAATTACAGCACTGACACAGCTCCTGGTGGATGAAGCTCCAGAAGCTGAAGAAAAAAGAAAAAGAGTACAGCATCTATAGTGGACATCTTCAGTATAGTTACCCTTTACAACAGTGCTACTCTACCCATTCCTCAAGGCACACCCAACAGACAAGGATTTATGAATTACCCAGGTGTGTCTACTGTGTTTAGAAAAAGAAAGAAAAAGGTGTGAGTGTAAGGTGTTTTTTAAAATTTTTATTTATCTATTTTTAAACAACTTGGACACACCTGGGTAATCCTTAAAGCGGCACTGTCATGCCGAAACCCGTTTTTTTTTTTTAACCCCCCTCCCGCCTCCACTACATCCAATTGACCCACTAGTCACCCCCAAATGCCCCTAAGCCCCCCACATTACCTATTTTTTAATCCTTATTTTCTGCCCCGATCTTGATTCAGGGCACCGCCATCTTTGTGTGGGTAGGTGAAGTCCCTGTGGGACACGTCATCTGCCCACACTAGACAGACTGTGAGATTCCCGCACATGCCCAGTGAAACACCTGGACATGCGAACGGGAATTTCATCTATTCATTCACTCATCAGACAGACGAATGAGTGAATAGAAAGATCAGCCGAACAAACAAACACAATGTATCAGTGTATCTGAGTATCAGTGTATGTTTGTTCGTGCAGTTTATTACAAGGAGGGAGCTACCGGCATGCAGCTCCCTCCTTGTAATATGTAACTATAGAAGTGGCAGGGAGCAGTGCTCCCCACCACTTCATAAGCCCCCCAGTACCCCCTCTCACTCTATGGGGGTCAATATGACCCCCATAATAGCACAAGAGAGATTTAAATCTCCCAAATGCCCCTACTCACTATACCGCGAGTAGGGGCATGTCTACTAAACAGTGAGCAGCCTGTGGCCTGTGGCTGCTCACTGACTAAATTACAATAAACCTATTGTCCCCCCCATGGGGCCATAAATTACAATGGGGGGGGACCTACTGTCCTCCCCCTCGGCCCCACCCTGAGCGGTGGGTGGGGGCCATAAAACAATAAGGGGGGGGGACCTACTGTCCTCCCCCCCTGGCCCCCACCCCTGAGCGGTGGGTGGGGGCCCTAATAAAACAATAAGGGGGGGACACCTACTGTCCTCCCCCCACCCCCACCCCTGCGCGGTGGGTGGGGGCCCTAATAAAACAACAAGGGGGGGGGACCTACTGTCCTCCCCCCCCCGGCCCCCACCCCTGCGCGGTGGGTGGGGGCCCTAGTAAAACAATAAGGGGGGGGGACCTACTGTCCTCCCCCGGCCCCCACCCCTGAGCGGTGGGTGGGGGCCCCAATAAAACAATAAGGGTGGGGGGACCTACTATCCTCCCCCCCGGCCCCCACCCCTGAGCGGTGGGTGGGGGCCCTAAATGAAACACCCCCCCCCCAATCAAGGTGACTAGGGGTCCCAAGCCCCTAGTCACCAACCCCCCACCCAAAAAAAACTATCCCCTACCTACCCCCCTCACCCTACAAATAGTGAGGGGGGAATAAAATAACTAACCTGTAAAAAAAAAAAAATTAAACTTACCATTTGGCGTCTTCTTTTTTCTAAAATCTTCTTTCTTCAGCCCCCAAAAAGGCCAAATAAAAATCCATTACACCCGTCGCACTTTAAAAAACAAAAAAAAAAAAAAAACGAGCGCCAAAAAAAAATTAATCCATGT